TATATATTTGTATTTATATAGCTGTATCTATGCATAGATCGTATCTCTGTATCTTAGTTCAAGTGTGCTTTACTTTGATATAAAAACCCAACAAAGATAGTCTAAGAAACAATACTATAGACCCACCTCATTTGTACACAGATGCATAACAATTCTAGAAAGAGATTACGCAAATTTAGTCACACATTAAAGGAATAGTCCATATAAAAGTAGGATTTATATAGGATTTCAAGGATAGCTTAGTATGTTGGGAAATTCATCAAGTCTGCTCATTGATAGATCAAAAGAAAAAAAACAGACATTGATCTTGATGGGTACTGAAAAGCCATTTGATAATATTGATCATTGATATGTGATAAAAATATTCTTTATAAATGAAGACTAAAGATACTTCTTTGATATGATAAAGTTGTTTATTTCAAAAAATCAGAAACCATTAATTATCCCCATACTCAATGGGAAAGCTGGGAGGCTAGTTTCTGATTATATACCTGGTATATAAAATACATATAGGTGTGTGTATATGGTGGCCATATGGTGGTGTTTATTACAAGTCACTTATGTTTGCATGTGTACACACATCTGAGAATACAGTCATACCTTCCAGTTACTGTCGGACCCACTTTCATGTGTTTATTGTTAGCTGCCAGAGAGTGAAATGTTGAATTCCACCGCAGAAGGAGCAGTGGGTGGTTGTAGAGCAAGCATGTCAAACTCAAAGGCTAACACGGGCCAAATAAATGAGGCATGTGGCCTGTGGCCCTCGAGTTTGACATTCTTGGTGTAGAGATTTCTGTGCTTCTGTGATGCCCTGACCCTGGGAGCAGTAGAATTGATTGTTATCATCAACGAGCTGAGATGTTGAGGCTGAAGCACAGATGTTCCTTCAGTGGAACATACCATTCCAGATAGATTTTTCTTTATTTTGGTTGTAAAGTGAGGTTCTGTCAGTGATCTTTCATGTGTGAATATTATTGGCATTTCATTGCAGCAAGACTTTTGCGGGGCCCTCTCTGTTAGCATTAATTGAGCTCTTTACAGTGTTTTGTGTGATGCTTGTTTTGTCATTCTATGAATGAGTTGGCTTTTGCCAAGGAAGGGTTGTAAACACGTGTTGGAGTGGAGTGATGAAAGAATGTGAGGGAGAAGTTGATGTACTTCTCTAACCATTTCAGAAGAAGAAACTTCTCAATGTAAATACCGTATTTGCCGGCGTATAAGACGATTTTTTGGCCCTGAAAAATATGCCTCCAAGTGGGGGGTCGTCTTATACGCCAGGTACACTTCAGATAGACTGCCCATAGTGCTTGCCCCGTGCCATAGTGGCCTCCCGATGCCCGCCCACTTCATTCCACATACCGTTCAGGCATCAGCAGCGCTGCTGGGTGTATGCTCGGCTGTTATGCGATTTTGCTGTTATGCGATTTTACCACACTCGCAAAATCGCACACAGCCGACCATACACCCAGTATGATAGCGCAAAATCACGAATCGCGATACCATACTGGGTGTATGGTTGGCTGTGTGCGATTTTGCGAGTGTGGTAAATTCGGGTTACCGTATATTTCTTTACATATGCATTGAAGATTCGCGATTTTGCGCTATCATGGTGCCTGTTAGAATGTTGAAGAGCTCGCACTTGCGCACTAGTGAGGTCCCAGGGAGATGCTGATGCAAGGGTGGACCAGACTGCTATAGTGACAGGGCGGGCAAACAGGGAGCAGGGACCAATCAAATCAGGCTTTGTATACAGCCAACAGCCAACCACAATACTGCCCCATTGTACAGTACAGCATAGAAAATGTCGACCAGTCAAACCCCTATCATCCCTATCATGGCACCAAGATGTCGTTGATGAACTTTTAATATCAGATGATGAAGAGGAGTTTGAAGGCTTTTAAGGTGAAACTGTCACGCCAGCAAACTTGCTAGGGACTTGCCCAGGAGAG